CGTGGCCCCCAGTTGTTTCGGCTGCCAGTCCCTGCAGACCCTTGTTCTCCGTTTTCGCCTCTGTGACTGTTTCTGCTCCCTCCCCTTGATTTCCCCTGCTTGTCTACTTACTCCGTTCCCTGCTCCCGGCGCTCCCCTTTCCATCTCGGTCTCTTCCCTCCCTCATTGTCTCTCCTCGTCCTCAGTCTCCCGTGTCCTCGTTTTTTCCGAGTCTCCATTTGCTCCCCACTCTGCCCTTCATTATCTTCCGCCTCTTCCTCCTCTCTCTCTCCTCTTTCTCGTCCCTCCCCTCCCCTCCCCCCTTCCTCCCCCTCTTTTGTATGAAAGAGCCACAACACGCTCGCCATGTGTTACAATCCGATCGCTGTCAGACGGGTGAATATTTCGATCGCAACGTTGTTACTGTCGGAAAGACGCGCGAAGAGCTGATCCAGCCTCTGCCGTTAACGGGAAGGACCATGGGGACGCAGACGCGCGTAGTCTTCTAGTGCGACCAGCGGTACCGGGCTCCAGACACCGGAGACGGAAGACCCTGAATACGGAAAGGCTTGGCCGAGAAGAACGCAGAAGGACTCGACGAATACATGCATACATCCAGCGCAGCGGCACGATGGAAGGCCCCGCGAGGGCATGGGCGATGGCCGAGTTCAAGGCAGAATGGACTCGAAGATCCGGGCCCGAATACCCATTTGCTTCAAGGAATCGGCATCGCTATTCCTCGACCCCCGGTGATGTATGTCATGTCGGCCGTGGGCGAGGAACCCTCGTCGCCCGCTGCGTCGCGCGGCTATGCCGGCGGCGCCACGGAGGGGAAATAAGAAATAAGATGATCGTGAAAGAGCGACTGGTGACGGATACCTTCGACGCCGACTCGGGCACCGACGCGGCGCGGAATGCCGCGGGCAGGACCTTGCGCGGCGGCCGCCGTGAGGCGCCGCGTTCCGCGCGTGCCCTCGAGGCTAGCAGGATGCGCGCAGTCTCCGACACCGGGAGAAGGAACCGGGGGCGCGACCACGCTACGCCTTTTTCACGGACAAGTGCGATCGATATGAAGAATCGAACCCGTTCGTTGCCCCATCGAAGCGGGTCGTAGACATGTCCAACGCGGCCTGCGCGGCTCGGCCAATGATAAGGCCGAGGCTGCAAACGGCGAAGGGGCTACTGCGGCTGTGAAAAAGGAATGAGATCGCTCACGGGAATTCAACGCGTGGGACGAGAGCAAGGTGATGGAGCTGAGTCAAGTTCGTAGGCAGATGGGGGGAAAAGACTTTCCATATTTGTAGACTCTCTGCGATCCTCGTTGAGGAGAATGCGGAACTACTTGAGGGGCACATCGACAGGAAGCTCAAAGGACACGTTGTTTTCGATGGGTCTGACGACATCAATCAAGACATGAACGCGGCACTATTTCAAGAACTGTCGTCTTGCCCTGCTACTACGCAGGTCAGCAAGGCCGCGTTCGCCTCTGGATTATTTCCAGGTCATGATATACAACAGGCTGATGCACGTCAGGCGTATACTCAGGCACTAGTGGGAGGAACACCCACTTGGGCCTGGGTGAGATTACTAGAGGAAGCGTGGCCAAAGAGTTGGGCAGGTATGTGCGACCCTGTAAGTCGTCTACGACTGGCATTGTATGGTCATCTAGGCGCTGGGGGTTATCGGGAAAAGCACTGCGTTGCCCACGTGATTTCTAAGGAGTTTGAATCCATCTCTTCCTGGCGCAATTGCGACATCGGCGCTCCGAAAGTTTATTCCGATTTGAGAAAACGGCGCCGCGCGAATGCAGAGCAAACGTTATGCTGGAAGGGCGCGGGAACGCGCGCCTCCTGGACAGGCGCGAGCAGCCGCGCCCCCGCGCGAACCCCGATCCCGCGCGGGGCGCGCTCCCGTTTGACAGTGGCTCGCCCGGGAAACCGTTTCTTGTGCCGGAAGTCCTGCGCGGGCGGCCCGTCGGCGGCTCCTTCGGACGAAACCCGGCCGGAACCACCGAGAAACCGTTTGCCATCGAATGTTCTAGGCGGTTTGCCCATGTTCGGTTTCTTCGGAGTGGACCCGAAGACCTCGAGATCTATGTTTTTTGCGAAAAGTCCGAGGCGGTTCGCACATTTTCGGGTCGTTCGAACTGGGTCTGATTTTTTTCTGGCACAAGTCCTATTGATTTGGCCACTTTCAGATAGGTCGATTTTCAGTCCTTGACGGTTTTCCTCGGGGAACGGGAGGCCGGGCTCTTTGAGCCTCCGTAGTCATCCTGGCTCAGGGGATGCAGTGGGTGGTCGACACACTCACCGCATACTCAGAAGCTGTCGGCGTCGGCGCGGTGTTCGGCACACACCTGTCCTCGACACAGCCGTGCATCTGCCATTGTGATCTCGGGCCGGACCGCGGGCTCCTGGACGTGATCCAGAGGCAGCTGGACCGCTGTGCTGCAGCTAGGCTGGCACCGGCGCCGTCGCGGCCGAGCCCGGAGGTGGCCTGGCCTCCGGCGTGGTGTTGGCTGTGCGTCGGAATGGCGATCGGGCTCGTCGTCGGGGCACTCCTCGGCGCCTATCTCTTGCTGGCGATCCTCGGGCGCGTGGGCTTGCAGGGGAGTTTTCATAGGGCCATCGGAGACAGGACTCAGACGACGGCAGCAGCCATCCCGCCAGTTCGTGAAGCAGCGGCGGCTGAGCAGCGACCAGAGGTTGTGACACCGTCATCTACTCGAATCAATGGCTGAGACTTTGGACACCGATTTGATACAGGTGTGCATCGATTTCCCACAGATGACCCCAACATCAGATGATCAGATGGTACCACCGAATTTTGTTGTACGAGCTGGGGCCCGGCCGGTGGGTAGTGAGCACTCCCGACTTCGGCGTCGAGGTAGTCGACCTCGCGAACCACCGTGTCGTGCCCCTGAACTGTGCGACCAGGTGGCCTGAGCGCGTTCGGGGTAACGTATACGGGTTCGACCCGCTGACGGAGGGGCAGAAGGAAGACATCCACCTCCGGGGGCTTCAGCTCGCGAAGGTGCTGGGATACAAGGTGGCTCCGAGCGCCTCTGCGGGCGCCGCCAGGCGGTGGCGAGTGTCGGACCCGGGCCGCGGCAAGTTCAACACAGAGCTCGAGGATCCCGACATGTTGCCTGGGAACCGAGCTGTGGTCCGGGGCGATTGTGGGATGTATCTCATCGACGAGGACGAGGAGGACTGGGTCAGCGTGCAGCGCGTACCCAACCGACAGCTCGACGAGTGGTTGGAGCAGAAAAGGAACGGGCCCGGCAGGGGCCTCAGGATTCACCCGATCCAGCGGGATCGTGCCGGGCGCCGTGAAACTGTTCAAGGTCCCGAAGTTCGAGGACTGGCCGTTCGACGGCCCGTCGGCGGCGGACGAGGTGCTGACCGAGGTCGCGACGGCGGGCCTGGAGCTGCGCCTGCACCCGACCTGGTGGGAGAGCAAGGGCGGGGTGAACCCGCAGAGCAGCGTCGCGCGGGAGGTGCGGCTCTGCTTCGACTACCTGCGCTGCTTCCAGTCGTGCGATCAGCTGAACCTGCCCGCTCTGTCGGGCGTGGAGCTGATCTGTCGGCGGGTCATCGCGTGCCAGCGCGCAGTCAGGAGGGGCCCGAAGAATCCAGACTTCTCGGGGTTTTAGAGGTTCCTGCAGGCGTCGTTCGACGACAGCGGCGGGCCCCGGACCTCGGAGTTCGACAAGTACATGGCGGAGCCCCAGAAGACGGACGCCGCGGTGCTGAAGCAGTTCAGGCCGTGGCAGGAGGAGCTCGAGGCTGACAAGAAGAGGCAGGCCGCCAAGGGAGGTGGCAAGCCGTCGTCGGGGTGATGACATCCGCGCCGGCGCCAGCCGCTGGGTTGGCATCGCGGGGCCTGGGTATCGCAGGCGCGGGCGCGCGGGAGAGCTCACGCCCTCGCCCGCATGACCGCGAAGGTTTGTTCCATTCGGAAGCGTTCCCTCTTCTTCGGCCCGCCGATGAGCGAGGTGATCGGGCGGCTCCGAGCCGCTTCCCATGGGCGCAGGGAGTCCAGGCGAGCGGCGCTGCATGGTGACCAACGCCGCGAGTACTCTCAACGGGCTTGCTGGCGCTCGCGCTGGAAGGCCGCTGCAGTTGCGACGGCCTGGGTATAAAGCCGATGGCCCTACCGACCCTGAGAGGTCGATCCTAGGGCGAGTCGTCCGGAGGGTGGGCGACGTGTTTCCCGCCCCAGACGACTTCGACGCGAAGAACTTGCTTTTTCCCATAATGAAGTGCAAGGAGATGCACAAAGTTGGCGACGTCACAACTCGGGTGTCTATAGTGCTCGAGCGTCTGAAGATCATGAAGGGCGACCCCCACCAAGGATGCGCTGGGCCTGGTCGGGGACGACGCGAGGGCGCTTCTTTGGGACCCTGGTCGATTCATCGAGCGTCCGCCTGACCAAGATGATAGCCGAGGGGTCCCGCCGCGTCCTTACATGGACCCAGGGCTGAGGGGCAACTCACCCATGCTGCGGGAGTTGACCAGTCGGCTCCACTCGCGCGGGCTCGTCGTCTACCGCAGGCGGGTGAAGTCGTTCGAGGGCCTCTTCACGGTTTTGAAGAAGGATGGCTGGTGGCAGCGGCTCATCATAGACTCGCGAGTGCCAATGTTTGTCCACCGTCGGCCGTCTGACTCTTACTTGGCCACCCCAGGGGCGCTCACAGGGTTGGACGTGTCGCCAGACTCGTTGGGGTCGATGGCCGACGGGCTGCAGCTCTTTGGGTGCTCAGTAGACTTCCAGGACGGCTTCTACCAGCTGCGGTACCCCCCTCTCTCTGACTGGTTCGGTATCCCCGCCAAGATCACCGCGAAGGAGGCTGGCGTCGACGTCGTGTACGACAGCGTTGACGGCCAGGACGTCTGGGATCGCGTCGAGCCGGACGAGCGAGTCTGGCCGTGTTTCTGCGGGGTTGCCATGGGCTGGTCTTGGGGCCTGTGCATCTGCCACTCGGCTTTGACAGACGGCTGATCGTGGCGGTCGGGCGCATGATGGCTTGCAGCCGAGAGGTCGCGGAGCGCCAGCTCGCTCGGGACGGCTTCCCGGCGCCGAGCCTCTCCAAGGGAAGGCCCGTCATCGCCCCCTACGTGGGCGACGGGAACGTGGTCTGCTACGGCGTGGCCGACGCGAAGCTGGCGCACAAGGAGGTGGTGAGCGAGCTGGTCTCGAGGGGCTTCGCTCTTCGGGACCTCGTCGAGTTCGACGAGGACCTGGACATGGTCGGCTGCGTGCTCTGCGGTGCGCACCGCCGGTCCCGATTCTGGCGACTCTACTGCGGCGTGGGCCAGCTGTTGGCCCGAGGGGGCTGCGCGGGCGACGTGATGCGCGTGGTGCTAGGGCATTTGGGCAATTTCTTCCTGCTCTCACGGTGCTGCCTGAGCATCTTGCAGCAGTGCTACCAGTTCGTTCAGGAGAACATCGGGCGCTACCAGCGGTTCAACAGCACGGTCGTCGCCGAGCTCCGCACGCGCCAGGGGGCCCTGCCGCTGGTGGTCGCGCGGCTCAGCGACCCGTTCTACGAGAAGGCCTTCATCAGCGACTCGTCGACCCACGGCTGCGCGCTTCACCAGGGCTACTTCAGCGGGGTCGAGCTGCGAGCCATCGGCCGCTGGAGGGAGCGCTGGTGCTTCGCCGAGGTGGAGGAGGCCTTTGGCCTCGGCCTGGAGGCTAACGGGCCACGCCTTGACGCCAACTTCGACTGCCTTGGCGAGTCGTTTAACCTGGGCGAGGCGTCGGGAAGTGGGTCACGCAGGCCGGCGGCCGAGGGGCCCGTCGGTGCCCGCCCGCGGTCGGGAAAGGCCGAGGTCATAGGCATCGCGCCCGCGCTGCCCGATGAGCTGCTGGACAGCGCGCGCTGGCCTCGGGTTCTGGTCGGAGCCTGGGACCGGCGGGAGGCGATTTACATGAAGAAGCGCTGCGTCTCGCTGGCTGGGCTCCGACACGCCGTGGCAGACCCTAGGGCGCACGGATGCCAGGTCCTCTCTGTTGGTGACAACCTCTCCGAGATCATGGCGACCGAGGAGGGCAGGGCCGTCGACCATTGTTTGAACGCCCTTTGCCGTCGCGCAGCCGCCCTCCAGCTCGGCGCCGAGATCCGCTGGGTGAGGAGGTGCGTCGAGTCGGAACGGAATCCGACGGACGCCGACTCGCGCCTGGCGGACACGGGCATCCTGAAGGCGGGCGAGGCGTTGCGCCCCGGACGCCTGGCCGGGCGGCTGCGAGCGCGCGCCGTTGGCCAGGCGGGCGGCTCTGTGCGGGCGGCCACAGGCCGGGGCCCGAGCGTGGCACAGAACGCCAGCCAGGCGAGACGGCCGCTCGGCGTTCTTGAGTTGTTTACCGGCTGCGGGCGCCTTTCAGGAGCCGGCGCGCAGGCTGGCCTGCGCATCTTGTGTCCGCTGGATGTTGCGAACGGAAAACACTTCGACTTGCTTGACACACGTGTTCAGTGTTGCGTCATCCGTTGGGCTCGTGAAGGGAAGGTTTGGCATGTTCACCTGGCTCCGCCATGTACCCGCTGGTCCCAGGCAAGATCTACTGGCTCCGAGGACTCCAACGAGGTCGCCAGGGGCCTGGCGTTGGCGCTCTTCAGTGGTCGTGTCCTACGGGTTTGTCGTCAGTGCGGGGCCACGGTCTCGGTGGAGAACCTGGCCACGTCTGGGATATGGGCCTATGGGCCGCTGAAGAAGGAGCTCCAGAAGAGCTCGTGCAGTCCTGTCCGATACGACGCGTGCAGGTACGGGGCCCCGTTCAAGAAGCTTACGATTTTCAACACTAGCGTGGTCTCTCTTGGGGCCCTGGATAGGAGGTGCAGCTGCAGAGTCCCCCACGAGATCCTCGAGGGCAAGGTCAGGGTCGAGGGTCCAGATGGCCGCCCTACTTGGCGCTGGAAAACATCCTTGGCCGCGGCCTATCTTCCTGTAGTTTGCCGAACGTATGTTGGTGGGCTCAAGCAGGCTGCCCCGCCCGGAGCGTTTCTTCGAGCAGGAGAGCCTGCGCGCTGTCAGCCTTGGGCCGATGAGCTGGCGGGCGCGGTCGGAGCCACCCCGCAGCCGGTCGCCACGCCGACGTGTCCACGGCGGTTTCCTACTGGATGGGAGCGCGCGACAGGACATGCCATGTGCGGGTCCAGCGGCGAGCGGCGGCGGCAAGCCATCGCTGCTCTCGCCCGCGCCGACGTCCACCGGGCTGCTGACCACCGCGGGCCTTCCGGCATCCAGCTCGGCGGGCCGAAGCTCGGGCGCGCCGACGGCGGACGCCGTGCGCTCGGACCGAGCCCGATCGCGCACCGCCAAGGCCGGAGGGTCTCAGCAGGAAGGGTAGTTGAAGAGCCGGTCGATATCCGTCAGGACCCTGCGTGTGCACACAGAGGCGGTGAAGCTGTTTTACCTTGCTTGCAAGAGCGCCATGATGCTGGTCGCCACGCATCAGGAACTGGACGTGGCCATGGAGCAATACCTTCACAAGCTGTACTTCGACGGGGAGACCATCTCTCGGCCGAACAGCACTGTGCACGGGCTCATGTACGAGCTGAACCTCACGTGGTCGAAGACGTCGGAGTTCCCGCTCACTCGGAAGGCCCTGCAGGGCTACCGCAAGAGTTTGCGCGACGTGTCGCGGGATGGCGCCCCGCGGGAGTGCGCGATACTTACCTCAGGATCTCGGAGGCCGTCGCTCTGGGTCGGGATCAGGTCGCCCCTCCGCAAGCCCGCTCGGGCCCTGGGAGCTCCTACTCGCCGATTGTCGCCCCCAGGGAGCTCGGGAAGCCGACGATGGCGGGCGCTTACGACGACACCGTTCTTGTCGGCGAGACAGCGCCAGAGAGGAGGCCTGTCTTGCGCGCGATCCTCGCGCAGATCCCTCGGGCCACGAAGCCCGGCGAGCGCCTCTTCCCGGACCTCGCGGCCGCGAAGTGCGAGCTGATCTTCAGGCGGGCCTGCCAGGCCTTGGGCTTCGGCGATCCCAAGCTTCGCCCGCGCAGTCTCCAGCGCGGCGGGGCCTCGGTCGACGCCCTGAACGGGGTCGACACTCTCGCGATCCAGAAGCGCGGTCGCTGGAACGTGATCGCCTCCTGCCGACGATGCGAGAAGAAGGGCCGTATCTTGAGGCAATTGGCGATCCTCGGTCAGACCCGCGTGCAGGAGTCTGCTGACGAGCTGGCCCGGTTGGTTTCAAAGCCCCCGCAGCTGCTCTTCTCAGCCCTTACAGACAGAAAGGTGGTTTCTTGAGAATGTGAATGAGAATGTGCCCACCCACCCTCCCGTAGGCCACAGGGGACCCCGGCGGTTGCGGGAAGCTGTTGGCGCACGAGCGTTGCGACATAATTCTGCGCGATGTTAGCCCTTTGGCGTATTTCACGATTCACCTGTGAATGCTCTCGTGCTTGTACGCGCCTGAAGGCTCGACCCGTCTGGTGAAAAGAGCGGTTGCCAGTGTGATCGGGCCACCTTGTTTTGTACAGCCTTTCCGGGCACTCCGCTATCCCTACCCCGGCCGCCTAGTGTATCGAGGATTTCAGTCCTTGACGGTTTTCTTCGGGGAACGGGAGGCCGGGCTGTTTGGCTCTCCGTAGTCATCCTGGCCCGTCCCACCTCCCTCTCTGTTTTTTTGCTTTGTATCGCATCGGGGGGCTGTTGGCTCACGAGCGCTGCGACAGAATTATGCGTGGTGTTTGCCCTTTCTGGCGCATTTCACGGTTCACCTGTGAATGCTCTCGTGCTTGTACGTGCCTGAAGGCTCGACCCGTCTGATGACAAGAGTTGTTGGCAGCATGATCGGTCACCTTGTTTTGTGCAGCCTTTCCGGGCACTCCGCTATCCCTACCCTGGCCGCCTAGTGCATCGAGGAAAAATTGTCGGGTCGTCGCATGACCGAACCCGAACATTTTTGTTCGAGGAAGTCCCGTGCAGTTTGCTCATTGTCGGGTCAGTACACCGCATGGGATTTAAAATTTTAAATTCCGAGGGGGGACCCAATCCCGTGACCCCGGGCAGGGGTTGCGCTCTGCCCTTGCATTGCACTGGGCCCCTCCGGCCAAACGGGGCGTCGGGCTGCCCATCGGCGCGCCGACTCTGCCCACGCGACATCGCCCCCAGCCGCTCTCGGACCCCGCGAGTCTCATCCTGCGCGCGCCATCCCAGATGGCCCCGGCGAGCACGGTGGCGAAATTGGGGAAACTTTCGGATCGGCGCAGTATTACCACCCGGAACTGATGCTCTTCTCGAATGTCTACGATGACGACTTTAAGTTGGCCGGTTTGGCCGCCAACTTATCAAAAGGATCGGATATCATATTGAGTCCTTCCGAGACTGCGCCCAAGGGAATTGGCGTGGATCCACCTACCCCGGCTGGTAGACACTCGGGCTGCGAACGCAGACTCTCGGAAAGGTGGACTGACTGGCAGGGCGAAAACCCTGCGGCGTAGGATCCTCCGCCTCCTAAGGTGAAGAAGAACAAGGACGCGGCAGCCGCAACTGCAGATTTCCATGACCCTGCCTCAGTGAAGGCTGCGGGCAAGGCTCCAGTGTCTACCGATCGCTTTTATCCTGTCCCGGATGGCCAATGCGCATGGGTTCGATACGCTTCCAACGCTAAACGCTTCCGGCCATCATTGCCTTCGGGGCCAGATTGGAGATCAGTAGTTCGGCGAGTTACAACGGATTACGACACGTGGGAGGTTCTAGAGGACATGAAGAATCTTCAATGTGTTGACCGGGGTAGGATCTATGCGGAGCTCCCAGGGGGTGCGATGCACCCCCGGAATATAGCGACGCTTATGCTACGCAAACCCGACGGCGACGATGTTCGCCGTTCGGAGGGGGAGGGGCGCGCGATCGGCTGCCCCATGCCGACCGAACGAGCAGGGTTCGAATAATGAAGAACTAGGGCGTTTCTTCACGCCTGCCGGACCGGCTGAACTAACAGATGACCACGTCAGCGACGCCGAAGACGAGGGGCCCGAGAAGCCTTATGTGCCGGGGCCGAAAGGAAAGGTACAGGTTATGGAATATGACATGGCGTGTTTCTTTACTTCATCCGTCAAGCTGCACGCTGAACTGAGGAACGCCGATCCTGAGACCTACCCACAGGCAGGCACCCCTTCCGGCCCTGAGTTGGCTAGCGTAGAGGACGGGCAGGGACGGTCCCCGAGGAGAAGGGGTCCACCCAGCCGAGGAGGCGATGGCGGAATGTGAAGGGATTGATACGAATTTCTGTTCGCAGTGAGTTGCCCACCCCACTGCTCGCGCAAACATCCCACCCACCCACCCGCAACTTGGTTTGCAAAATCTCTCAAGACCGCGACGGCGGGCACCACATGGCACTTGGCAACAACAGCGACGCCGACGACGACAGCGACAACGACGATGACGACGCCGCCGACAGGAACTACGACGACACCGACGAAGTCTCCAACGACTTCGACGACGCCGACAACGACGACGACGACGACGACACCGACGACGACGACGCCGACGCCGACGACGACGACGATGACAACGACAACGACGACGACGCCGACGACGACGATAACGACGACACCGACGACGACGACGACGTCAACGACGCCGGCGACGACGACGACGACGACGGCGGCGACGACGACGACGCCGACGTCGACGACGACGAAGACGACAATGACGCCGACGCTGACGACGACGACGAAGACGACGACGACGCCGCCAACGAAGACGACGAGGAAGGAGGGAGGGCGACGACGGCGACAACGACGACAACGACGAGGGAGGAGGGAGGACGGCAACGACGCGAACGACGAAGAAGGAGGAAGGACGGCGACGCCGACGACGGCAACGACAAGGGAGGAGGGAAGACAACGACGTCGACGACAACGACGACGACGACGACGGCGACGGAATAGGAGGGATGGCGACGAGACGCCGACGACGGACGACGACGACGACGAGGGAGGAGGAGGAAGGACGACCACGGCGACAACGACGACGGAAACGACCACGACGCCGAAGAGGACGACGACGACGAACACGAGGAAAGACAGAGGACGACGTAGGCGACGACGACGACGACAACGACGCGGGAGGAGGGAGGACGGCGACGACGACGACGACGACGACGCAAGAGCGCGCGCGCACGCTTTTGTTGAAAATCCGCGTTGCGAAACCTTGTGTTTTTGAATGTTTTTTGGGCGCGCGATTTTGATATCCTTCCGAAACCCATGGGTTTTGAGGGTTTTCGGCATACGCGCGCGACGACGCGCGCGTCTGCGCTTCGTCCGATTTGTTGCAGGGGGTTCTCGCGACGGCACGCGCGCAAGGGCGTTCGACAGATTTCGACATGAGCGCGCGCGAAGCCCGTTTGGTACGATTTTGCGAAAATCTTGAAAAACCTATGGTTTTCTAAAGATTTCGCAAGAGCTTTCGCGGAGGCTTTTCTAGCAACTCTGTGTTGCGAAACCATGTGTTTTTGTCTGTGTTTTGGAAAGTCGATTGCGAAATCCTTCCCGCACCGAAGGTTTTTGAAGGGTTTCGGCATGCGCGCGCGACGACGCGCGCGCGTGCACTTCGTTTCAGCTGTTGCAAGGGATTCGCGAACAAGTGTTATGTTAGAACAAAAAATGTCACGGCATAGTGTTTTTTAAAACAAAAAACATGGGGGCCTCAGGGGGTGGGGATGCCGGTTCGGCTGGGATAGTACGATTTCATATCTAGGATGGACGAGTGTGCAGTATATATATATATATATATATATATATATATATATATATATATATATATATATGAAATCAGATTATCCCAGGGGGAACCGATAAGTCCGGGGGGGGGGGTAGAGTTTATTTTTTTTAGATAGGAGAATCAGCGTGGGTTCTCAGGACATAGTACCAGCGGCGGGCGGGAAGCCGATGGTCGACGACGGGTCTCCGAGCACCCGACCCCCTGCCCAATCGGGCGCGTCGCAGCCGATGCCCGATGAAGATACTTTACGGCGCAACCTATTGAGAGCGACTTGTACACTGGCGCCATGCGGTACCAAGTGGATTGAAAAAAAAAAAAAAAAAAAAAAAAAAAAAAAAAATCGAATGCTTCCGCATCGTCTGCTATCTCAGGGCGGCTCTGAGTTTTCCGCGTGATGTCACGGGTGGGAGACGAATCCGCTGACGCATGGCTTCAGCAATATGCAGACGTGGACTTGGCCAGCGGCATCAGGGCACATCGGAGTACGAGCGCCAATGCGCAGAAGCTGCGGGGACCCAACGCAAGGGCACCTGCAAGGCTGTGACTCAAGAAGACAGACTGCCAAATCGCACAGTACTCTCGACGCAGACATTGCGTCGGACGATGAGGCGGCGCGAAGGGAACTCTTCCCCGTCCTGCCACTGTGGGAAAGACTGTTGGGAATATCCCCATAAAGCTGAGTTTACGGAGGACAATCAGGCAGTCTTTAAAGCCTGCGAGGCCGGAGGGTCGCAAAAGTTGACGCACCGGCCGCGGGCGCGCGGGATTGATGCCGCTGTTGTCGCAGAGCAATTTGCGCGAGGTATTATCGATCTGGCCACTTGTCCAACGCAGGATCAGGATTCAGACCTCGGCGCAAAGAGGTTTGGAACAGACTCCCTCATGGGCCAGAGCGAAATATCTCATTCGAGCGGTCGCGCCAACTTTCCGGTCAGCGAGGAGCTGTTACAGTTGCGTGGGATCTCTCTTTGACGGGGAAAATGCTCTGCCTATCGAGCCAGCGGGGATCCTGAAGCCGAAGCCGGGAACCAAATCGCCTCTTGTCAACGGTGGAAAGATCGTTGGAAAATGGACAGTGAAGAAGCCCAAGCGCCCAAACATATGAAAGCCAACGATAGACACCAAGCCTCGTGAACAGACGGTTGCGGTGGGAGAGTCTGGGAATGCCATCTCTGGGGTCTCTGATGATACATCCACTTGCCCGAGGAGGTTATTTTTGGAATTTTGTTGTGGACCGAACAGTAGATTGGGTGGGCCTGAGAATGTGCTTGATCAAGGATGCACAGTGGCACGTCTAACAGAGTAAAAGGATATGACGACCGAGGCAGGATTCGCATTCGCCGCACAGACAGTGGAGGTCTTTCGCGGTGCCCACATTACACTGTGGTGCTCCATTTCTTGTACTGGTGGTTCACATTGGCAATGCGTGAATGAAGTCCTGCACTATAGGAACAGCGATGAAATGCATTGAAGAGATAAGGGGTCACAGGACGATTTTTCGGAAGTTGTTCTGGCACGTCAAAGACTTACATATAGGGTATTGAAACAAACTGGCACTGTATGTTTAGAATGGCCGACGCCATGCCTCTATTGGCGTGATCCTCAAGTGCGTAGATACCCGGTTAAAAACGGTATGGACCAGGTTAAAGCTGCACGGGTGCGC